GCGCTGGCGGCACTTGCGGCTATGGGCAGAGCGAGCGCAGCGGAGCGGCCTCCGGAGCTAGCCGAGTATGCAGCGGGCTCGGCAGAAAGGATTTAAAGGGACAGAGTTAGCGCAGCGGCGCAGTAAGGGTTTCAAGGCAGAGCTATGCAGCAGAGCGGCAAGTGGCCGGGGAGGAACGGGGGGGTATGAGAGGGGGGGTCCTCCTTCCTCTTTTTTTTTTTTTTTTTTTTTTGAAGTAGAGAATCCAGGGAGAAAAAACCTGAAGGGAAGAAAGAGAGGTTAGTGCAAGGAAAAGAAAAGGAAAGATGAAAGCAAGGTTTGGCAAAGCCTAAAAACGCTGCTCTCCCTCTTGAGGCAGGAAAAGAACTGAGGATGAGGGTGACTCCCACACAGGAAACAGTAAGTTCTTGGAAGTCCTGCCTCCCTGAAAGGAGGGTGGGAATCACCCACAATCAGATGTCCTCCAGCTCAGAGGGAGAATTCTATTTTGTGAGCTACTGGCATTGAAGTTGTGAGCGAGCGATGTGGCTACTGCATAAATTAGTTGGCCCTGGAGCCATCCCTTCCTGAGCTGAGACAAAAATGTGTGAGCTGGAGGCTAAAAAACGGTGAGCTCGCCCACACTGACTCAGCTTAGAGGGAACAATGGCCGTGACTCAGGAAGTCTCTCCATGCTTACCTCGATGAGATCCAGGTCATCAACTCGACACAGCATCAAGTCGGACCCCAGCTTTGCCATTCCTGTTAAGAGAGCAGCAGTCCCATTAACAGGCAGTTTTAGTGGCATACACCATATGCTTTCCCGGCCTTAAACTGGGTCTGAAACCCCCCCGCACCCACACATACACAAAGCTTCCCCTGGAGACACACTACAACAGCATGCTCCACCCTTTTCATACTTTTGGAATTCTGGCACGCAGTGGTCAGCGTAACTACAAAATGGCTTCCATGGGGGGAGGAGCCAACCTCAAAATGGCTGCCAGAAGAGGTGGGGCCAACCACAAAATGGCCGGGAGTGAGGCTGCGTATAACTCTAAGAGTAACTCTTCAACTTTCTAGGCAGAAGCTTTGTTTAACACGACACCTTTTTAAAAAGTAGCATATGGTCTAAAAACATTGGGGAATTTCAGACAGGTGCTTTCTCCCGGTAGGGAACCGATTCTCAACCGGGTGCTGGTCTGTCATTTCAGACAGAACCCGGTTGAGAATCGGTTCCCTACCGGGATGAAGTGGCATTTCACACAGGGAAGCCTCTCTTCCGATTAGGAACCGGGAGGGAAGCGTTTTACCTGTCAACCGCTTCCGAGGAGGCTCCCGTTCCCTCTCCCGGTTCCAATACGCTTCTTTCCCGCCTTTTTTCAGCCGCGCGGGCTTTTTTTTTTTTTTTTGAACGTTCGGCTTATATCGATATATCGATATAACGCTATACCGATCCCATTGGAATACTGGTATATCAATATATCGCTATAAGACGGACTTAAAAAAAAAACGTGGGGAAACAAAGCGGTGCGTGTGTGAAACGCCGAACCGCTTCTGAATCGGCTCCTTTCCGGTAGGGGCAAGCCGTGTGTGAAACGGCAGCCCTCTACCGGTTCATCTGCAAACGGAAGACTCCCGGCTTGAAACCGGGAGAAGACGGGTAATGTGAAATTCCCCATTTTCTTGTGTACACTCAGTGAGGATCGTCATGCTGTGGTGGCAGCTACTGCCAAAGCGATTTTGTGGAATATCTGCACAGCGAATGGCTAGTCAGAAGCCTTGCTTGGCAAAAGCCACACCTGGTCCCATCCAATTTCTAAAATACATGGTGGGTGCCAGAAAGGGTGTGGGCAGTCGCCATGGTGCACGTGGGCGCCATGCTGGGGATTTCTGAACTACAACCTCTCATTCACAACATAGCTCCGGATTCAATGAACGTAAGACAGGCATCCTGACATGCAGCCAGGCAGTTTATGCACTAGTTTCAAACACAACTGAAGGGGAGGGGCCGTGGCTCAGGGGAAGAGCTTCTGCTTGGCTTACATACGGTCCCAGGTCCAATCCCTGCAATCTTTGATTAAAAGGACCAGGCAGGAGGTGATGAGAAAGACCTTGAACTGAGACCCTGGCTCAGCGGTAGAGCCTCTGCTTGGCATGCAGAAGGCCCCAGGTTCAATCCCCGGCATCTCCAGGTAAAAGGACCAGGGAGGAGGTGATGGGGAAGACCTTGACCTGAGACCCTGGCTCAGTGGCAGAGCCTCTGCTTGGCATGCAGAAGGTCCCAGGTTCAATCCCCGGCATCTCCAGGTAAAAGGACCAGGGAGGAGGTGATGGGGAAGACCTTGACCTGAGACCCTGGCTCAGTGGCAGAGCCTCTGCTTGGCATGCAGAAGGTCCCAGGTTCAATCCCCGGCATCTCCACTTAAAAGGACCAGGCAGGAGGTGATGGGAAAGACCGTGACCTGAGACCCTGGCTCAGTGGCAGAGCCTCTGCTTGGCATGCAGGAGGTCCCAGGTTCAATCCCTGCAATCTTTGATTAAAAGGACCAGGCAGGAGGTGATGAGAAAGACCTCAGCCTGAGACCCTGCCTCAGTGACAGAGGCTTTGCTTGACATGCAGAAGGTCCCAGGTTCGATCCCCAGCATCTCCAGTTAAAAGGGCCAGGCAGGAGGTGCATGGTTTCCTGTCCTGAAAAACACAAAATGCTCTACATCTGACAGCAGCACTACAGATAAGATTAGAATTTCAACAGCCCATCAATATGCAAAAGAACCTCCTCAGGAAACAGGAAACCTCCTCAGCAAACAATCCATATACAAAAGAACCTCCTCAGGAAAGCTCCTCCATTAGCATGTCCACAGCCTGGGGAACTCCTACAAGAGAATGACTCATCCCTACCCTTACCTTCTGTGCTTCCAGTTTGGTGTAGTGGTTAAGTGCGCGGACTCTGATCTGGGAGAACCGGGTTTGATTCCCCACTCCTCCACTCGCACCTGCTGGATGACCTTGGGCAAGCCACAGCTCTGACAAGAGCTGTTCTTGAAAAAGAGCAGTTCCTGTCAGAGCTCTCTCAGCCCCACCTACCTCCCACCAGGGTGTCTGTTGTGGGGAGGGGAAGGGAAAGGGGTTTGTAAGCCCCTCTGAGACTCCTTTGGGTAGTGAAGGGCGGGTATAAATCCAATCTCTTCTTCTCTAATCTGGGAGAACCGGGTTTGATTCCCCACTCCTCCACTTGCAGCTGCTGGATGCCCTTTGGCAAGCCATAGTTCTGACAAGAGCTGTTCTCTCAAGGGCAGTCCTCGAAAGAGCTCTCTCAGCCCCGCCTACCTCGCAAGGTGTCTGTTGTGGGGAGGAGGAGGGAAAGGTGTTGGCAGCAATCAACTTCCCCCTTCTTGCCTCTGTCGTCTGCTAGGAGGCAGAACATCTTTCAGAACGAAATGCAAAATCGTCAAGCCCCAGACCTGAAGTAAAAGGTATTTCTCCACAGCCCCTTTCAACCCGATGTCAGACTCAGGCTGTGCCTCTTGTAGTTCAACCTGATATATTTTACTAGCTTTCTGTATATTCTGAAATGTTCTGCCTGTTCTCTCTATCCTTATCGCTGCCCGCACCTGCCATTGCATTCCAGGTAGGGGGGGGGAGTGAGTGTCTGTAGTAATTTAGGGAGGCTAGCTTTGGTAGCTTTGGTGTAGTGGTTAAGTGCGTGGACTCTAATCTGGGAGAACCGGGTTTGAGTCCCCACTCCTCCACTCGCACCTGGCTGGATGACCTTGGGCAAGCCGTAGCTCTGATAAGAGCTGTTCTTGAGAAAGAGCAGTTTCTGTCAGAGCTCTCTCAGCCCCACCTACCTCACAGGGTGTCTGTTGTGGGAAGGGGAAGGGAAAGGAGTAGTGAAGGGCGGGGTATAAATCCAATCTCTTCTTCTTCTTCTTTTACCTCACAGGGTGCCTGTTGTGGGGAGGGGAAGGGGAAGGAGTTTGTAAGGCGCTCTGAGACTCCTTTGGGAAGTGAAGGGCGGGGTATAAATCCAATCTCTTCTTCTTCTTCTTTTACCTCACAGGGTGTCTGTCGTGGGGAGGGGAAGGGAAAGGAGTTTGTAAGGCACTCTGAGACTCCTTTGGGTAGTGAAGGGCGGGGTATAAATCCAATCTCCTTCTTCTTCTAAGAGGCATCAAGACAGCTTTCTTCACGAGAAATGTCCTTGAAGTACAGTCTGTCCTTGGCTAGATAATGACCGTATATCTTTCACAGTCATTGTAACTGTGGATGTGAGATGTGAATGGAATTTTGGGGTTGCACCGATATCCAGCTTTCCCGCCTTTGCACCTCAGTCCTAACAAGGCGTCTGAACCCACAGCATGTCATATCTCTAAATAAAACATTCACTGAAGAAAGTGTGTGTGGAGAGTGACTTGACTGGGACCCTGACCCCCGAGCGCCATATGTACCTTTAATTTTCATATCCCTCTGTGATTCCTTGAGCGATGAGAACTCGTCTTGGAGGGGTGGATACACACTGCAAGGGAGAGCAAACACACGGTCAGGTCTCACTGCCACGGTTTTGAGACGCCAAATTCCTAGAACTTCTGATGAAAAAGCTTCAATACCCACTTTCTTACCAAATCTATAACCGTTTCGCTGCTATGACAAGACGAAACGCAACGGTTATAAAATTTAGTTAGCATACAGAGTTGTACTAGTCGGCATATTTATGGAACCTGAAACTATAAATGCCTTATCTATAAGCAAAACTGCAGCTAAGTCCAATAGGAAAGCAAAGAAGAAGAGGAGATTGGATTTATACCCTGCCCTTCACTACCTGAGGGAGTCTCAGAGCGGCTTACAAACTCCTTTCCCTCCCCCTCCCCACAGCAGACACCCTGTGAGGGAGGTGGGGCTGAGAGAGCTCTTTTGAGGACCGCTCCTGAGAGGCCAGTTCAGAGAGAACTTGCGGCTGACCCAATGTCACACCAGCAGCTGCATGTGGAGGAGTGGGGAATCAAACCCGGTTCTCCCAGATTAGAGTCCGCGCTCCTAACCACGACACCAAACTGGCTCTACAAAGAGCTGCAAAGCTGGCTGTCTTACTCATTCTGAAAGGAGATGTAAATCACAGGATATGCTCCCTCCTGCTCTAAGCTGCGGAGTCTTGTGAGCAAAAATCCTACCATGTGAGCTACCAGCATTAAAGCTGTGAGCCAGTGATTTGGCTACTGCATAAATTAGTTTGCTCTGGGGCCATCCTTCCTGAGCTCAGATAAAAATGTGTGGGCTGGAGGCTAAAGAACTGTGAGCTAGCTCACACTAACTCAGCTTAGAGGGAACACTGCATGGGAGAGTTAGATTCGAATCCACTGGCACCTTAGAGACCGACGACAGTTTCAGGTTATAAACTTGTGAGAATCAAAGCTCCTTAGTTGCTGTAGATTTTCTGGGCTGTCTGGCATTGTAGGACCTGACGTTTCGCCAGCAGCTGTGACTGGCATCCTCAGAGGTATAACACAGAAAGATGGAGTGCTCTCTGTGTCAAGATGAGAAGAAAAATGGTAGGCAGGTAATTTATATCGACTCAGGAAGGTGGGGTAGGGCTGAGTCATTATCTTGTAGGAGTTCCCCCAGGCTATGAGCATGCTTGGAGGAGCTTTCCTGAGGAGGTTCTTTTGCATATGGATTGTTTCCTGAGGAGGTTCTTTTGCATGTGGATTGGCTGTTGAAATCCTAATCTTCTCTGTAGTGCTATTGTCAGATGTAGAGCCTTTTGTGTTTTTCAGGACATGAAACCATGCGCTGTTTATTTGTAAACTCTCTTCTTTCCTGTTGAAGTTGTGTTTATGTTAATGAATTTCAGTGGCTTCCCTGTGTAATCTGACATGGTAATTGGAAGTGTTGTCAAGTTTTCAGTGTCTCGGAACAAAATACTGTGTCCTGTTTGAGTTAGGCTGTGTTCAGCCGCTGCTGATCTTTCTGGTTGGCCAAGTTTGCAGTGTGTTTCATGTTCTTTTATTCTTGTCTGGATGCTACGCTGTGTGGTCCCGATGTAAACTCGTCCACAACTTCGTCAGAAATTAGTAGAAACAGGTTTCATAGGTCTGCTCCAAATTTCTCAGTTTTCCAATCTGCAAAAAGTCCTTATTAAAAAATGGGGGGGGGGCCTTCACAATGGGTCCGCCTCCCCCCTCTTTCCCGGGCCTTGGCATCTCCACTGGGCCCTGCTCCAACTCTTATTTCACCGACACAGTCTGTAACCAGGTATGACAGCTACCTGATCCTCCCTTTCACCCAGCCAGATGGGCATACTAAGTGTTAGGGCAGGGGGCGGCCAAACTTGCTTAACGTAAGAGCGACATAAAATAAATGTCAGGCGTTTGAGAGCCACAAGACATGAACAAATATCACACATACGTTTTTATTGTAAATACGCAGGTTTGCTTTTTATTAACATTAAATGAGACTGCCAAAAGTAGAAACAAAAGGGGTAAAACCAGATATTGATAGTGATATTTATTTGTCCAATGATATTTGTTTGCTAATGATATTTATTTGTTTGCTAATGATAACTATTTTTCTGAGAGAGAGAAAGAGGGGGAGGGAGGTGGAAAGAAAGAGAAAAAGAAAGAGTGAAAAACAAAGAAAGCGAATAGATGGGGAGGGAGGGACATATATATATTTGTACTTTATCAACGCATACACCAGAAACGCCAATGATCTGGAACGCAGTCTCCCAGTTTTGAGAGTCCCATAGGGATTCAAGGATTCACTGGAGCCCAATTGAGGAACTAACGTAGGTCCCTCCAATATTTGTCATTATGCGTAAGCTAGACGACAACAAGCCACGTTTCGCCAAAGGCTTCTTCACAAAGACGGAACCCTGAGTCTTCTAGAAGCAAGCACATAAAGTTCTTACCACAAGTCAAAGGTGGAAACGCACAGGGGTCATTTCCTGCAGGAGCGGCACTCCGGCAGTAAAGAGCCCAGGGGGCGGGCACATGCAACAAGCCCCACCCCCTGCTCCCAGCAGCCCTCAGTCAGTGCAAGAGGCAGCCAAGTAAGTTGCAAAGCCCCACCCCCACCCCGTCCAAAAGAGTCCAGTGGCACCTTTAAGGCCAAGTTTTATTCAGGTACAAGCTCTCCCTCCTCTGCGAGGACAGATCTGCACGCCCCCCCCCCATAGCCAGCAATCCAAAAAAGTCCAATGGAGCCTGAGCGGTGGGTGTTAAGTGATGCTAATGAGTTATGCTAATGAGCTCCTGCACCTCTTTTTCTATGAAACGACCCCTGGAAACGCACACAAAGCAGCCTTCAGCAGAGTTTTAAATTACCTGCTCCAAAGGGAAAAAATTCACCAACGTATTGTTTCCAAAGGACACATTTGGAAGCATTTTGCACTTTGACTTGAGATCCAGACTGAGGCAAAAGATTTGAGATCAGCAGCAACTGTGGGACTATTAGAACTGGGAGATTGTGTTCCATATGATTGGAGTTTCTGGTGCAGGAGTTGATCAAGTTTAAATATATCAGTGTCCCACGATATGTAAAACACGTTATAGTTAATTTCATGATATCTTGATTACACTGGACTGTGTCCTCTTTGGTGTAGTGGCAGGGGGGCCTTGGGGGAGTCACAGTTCTCTCAGAGCTGGTCTCCTATCCCCTATGAAACATTGTTAGTCCCGTCTAAAAGTGTAACTGTAAATCACTTTGAGCCCACTCATGGGGAAAGCGATGAATAAATCGAAAACATTATTATTCAGGAGCAGTCCTCTAAAGAGGTGTCTGTTGTGCGGGGGGGGGGGGAGGAGTTTGTAAGCTGCTCTGAGACTCCTTTGGGCACTAAATAAAATATCTTCTTCATTATATCCTTATTACATTTTTTTAAATTAAACTCTCCTCGTATCCTTATTACATTTTGATACAATTGTTTTAAGACTTGTGGTTGCGTTTACTGTTGAGCACAGGTTGCTTCCTTTGTTTTGCATACTTCTTCTGTGCTGCTCTTTGGTTTTGCTTTTCGCTTCCAAGAGCAGGCTAGCCCGGGCGATTCAGGTCAAGGCAAGAGACGAATGGAGGTGGGTTTGCCCTTGCCTGCCTCTGCACAGCAACCCTGGACTTCCTTGGTGGTCTCCCATCCGAGTACTAACCGGGCCCGACCCTGCTGAGCTTCTGAAAAGATCCAGCTTGCCTGGGCCTTCCAGGTCAGGGCGAAACAGAGTTACATCCTTCTAAATCCCCTGAAAGTCAACGGGCTTAGAAGGGTGTATCTCTGTTCAAGGTTATGCTGTCTGGGACTGGTTACGCCGGCACTACAGCCAGTTTGCTGTAGTGGTTAGGAGCGCGGACTCCTAACCGGGTTTGATTCCCCACTCCTCCTCCACATGCAGCTGCTGATGTGACCTTGGGTCAGTCACAAGTTATTCATGGGATAGGTAGAGAAAGAGGTACTTTTC